ACTTTTACATGTAGGGGATAGCTTTCACTCCTAATTTCTCTATTTCCCTTAAAAGCCAAATTAACTTCCACTCATGCTCAGGTGTGGAGTTGTCAATCTACTTTAATTCTCTTGTGAAGCTAGCTAAGTCTACCAGTTTATGAGTCATATTATTTGCTTGAGCAGCAACTTCCTTCATGAGATTGTCTTTTTCCTACATCTTCTGTGTAAATTCTCGAAGTTGTAACAATGTTGTTCATTTTTTCTTGTGAGAGAATCTTTGTGTTCAAGTTCTTGTATAAGATCTCTATAATCATCTAAACATTTCATCAATGTCTTGTTTCTGGTCTTAGTGACTTCTAATTCAGCATCAATCTCATGTTGATGGATCTGATATGATGCTTCCATGTTGATTATAGCAATATTCAACCTTTGATTTTCGACTTGACATTTTTTCAAATTGACTACAGTTGTATTGCGTCTTTCTTCTGCAATTCGTAAATCATGAGAAAACTTCTTGGCTCGTCCTTCATGTATCTTGCAGCTATTTTTCAGTTTAGTGACCCCTGTTATCCACTCTTCTGGGTATTTCCTATATCAACATTTTGAAAGGCTTGACTGACCTTCTGGAAATCTTCATGTATGGTTTCCATTTTGGTGCTCAATTTATCATTTTCAATCTTTAAATGACGTATTTAAGCCTCGAACCTCAGCAAATCTTCTTCCTTCTGGACGCCCCTACTGATACTCTTACCTTTGAACACTTTTGGTATTAATCTAGCAGGACCTTCAGTTACCAAACTAAGTTGATCATTTATCATAAACTCTAATATTCCATGATCCAAAAGACTTTGGACTCGATGTTTGAAGGCAAGGCAATTCTCAATGGTATGTCCTTGAGCTCCTGCATGATATTCACAATAAACGTTGATATCATACCAATTCGGATACGAGGTTGGAATGGTTTCAGGTAATGTAGAGCCGCTTCTCGCGCTTCAAGTAACTTCTTGTGTAACTCCTTATATAATATAAGGATAACATCAAAATGAGAACCACGTTTTATCTTGGATTGATCCTGAGTTTCCGACGTCGAGAGTAGACTAAACTTCGATGATTTCAGATTATGTAATTTCTTCTCATATCTGGGATCTTTTATAGTTGTCACCATTTCCTCGGTATCTCCAGACAATTTGTGAATAGGAATGATGACTGTCTGTAATTTCTCAAATTGGTTAGGATCAGAAGTCTCTTGCATATATGAAATTACAGGATTATATTCATTTAGCTCTCTCTCTTTTTGTGCATGAATCTTTTTTCCTTTGACCAAAACAGATATTTTACCCATCATCTTGGACATTTTCTCTCTTATTTCTCGTATCTCCTTTTGCTCTTCAATGTAAATACGATCTTTGGGTGCATAGCTCTCCTCTACCTTCGGAGTTCCCTCAGGATGTCATTCCTTGGTTGCGTCATAGTTTGCTTGATCATAAAGCTTTTTGTCCATTTATGAAAACTTTTCAATTTGATGAACACTCTCTCGAATCAACACCTTCTAGTTATGCCATGATCATGTAATGCAAGCAAAAGAAATCAATATAAACAAATTAGAGCAAAATAAAATGTATCTTCGAAATATATAAAAATAATAAAATTAAATTAAATAAAATGGTTAGTATCAATTAATGGAAAAAAAGGTCATATCTATCATGGTATAAATCCTAACCTCATGTTTTCTAGTTACATGCTTTATTTGGAAAAACTAACCTAACCGCATGATTACTAGTTCCTATGCGTAGAAAAAAAAGGTAAAACTTATTTCTCCTTTGTGTACACCTACAGACAGAGTGTCAGTAATGTCTAAGATCGGGTGAATTTCTATGGTTTATTATATGCAGGGTTTCGGTTCTAAGAGTAAAGGTACTCGAATTGTCCTTGTTGGTGCCCCCTTAGGCTGTTAAACCCTTAATCCTAGTTCATTACATATTTAAGCGGATCGAGTTCAATTCGAGGGGACACATTTCCCTATGCCTGACACGGAGAATAAATTCTCACGAAGACATAGAGCATATGAACCCCGAAAGTTACTTGGTAGGTCTGACACGGAGAATAAATTCTCACAAAGACGTCACTTTCACTTCCACTTAAAAGAGAAAAGAGCTCGAGTATAGAGCTTATGTTTATGCAATGCACGTATTGTGTGTGAGGATAAATTTTCACAAAAATTAATATCTAAAAAATAATTAAATACAAAAATAAATATATAAGGGTACAAAATAAATTGAAAGAAATCAAAAGAATCTTAAATTAAATAAAATTGAATTCTTGATTTCTAACTATTGAGATAATAAATAATCGAATTAGGTTGACCAGGATCCCCAGCGGAGTCGTCAAGCTGTCGTAACCGGTTTTCGCCCGAGCACGAAATTTCCTTTTCGGAAAAGTAATGTGAATGAAATAAATGGTTTTTATTGAAATATTTTGAGAGTCGCCATCGGCCTTTTGGGTTAGGTAGGTCGAATACCTAAAAATCACATTTTAAAATAGTTTTTAAGAAAATACCATTTTAAAAGAGTAATTGGTATGCGTTTAACCAAAAATTCGTTTCTTTTAGTAATAAAAAGGGATTCATTTTCGGTTACGTTTGGGGAAGGATTAGCACCCCACAATGCCCAAAATTGGTCCTTGTCGATTATAAATTGTCTCTAGTAGTAGAAGTTTAAGAATTCGAATATCAATTTAAACTATGATAATGTTATTTAATATATAATCGGATAATTCTAAGGAAAAATATATTTAAAATAATATTTATAAAACTAAAGTAAATAAATATATATTTTAAATATATTTATTTATTTAAAAATATCAAAAAATGACATCTAGTTACTTTAAGACAGTCCATTTCTTTAATATTAAAAAATAAATAAATATTATAAAATATAATAAATTTTCCTAAAAAATAATTTAAATAAAACTAGATTAAATATAATATTTTATTTATTTAAAAATATCACTTTAAGACAATCCATTTCTTAATATTTAAAAATAAATAAATAATATTATTTAACATATATTTTTATAAAATAAAAATAAAAATAATAACAATTAAAGTACTAAATTAAATATTAAAATCAAAAGGGTAATAATAAAAATTAAACTACAATTTATCAATGATCAAAACAAATAAAATTAAAATTATAGAATTAAAACATAAAATATTAAAATTAAAGATACTAATTCGAAACATTATGAGAGATGGTGATTAAAGGTGTAATTTACCCTAATTAATTATTCGGGATTAAAATATAAACTAATAAAATTAAAGGACTAAATATGTTATTTTACATAAAATATATATAATTATGTCAGGGACTAAATTATAATAAACAGAAATTTGAATACCAAATTAAAAAGTTCAGAAATTGCTTTCAGTGACTAAATTGCAAAGAGTACAAACTGTAGTGATTGCGGGTTTAGTTTACCCATGCGGGAAATTACGCACATACCTCGTCAAAACGGTGTCGTTTTGATGAGGGTATAAATACCCTATAACTGGCCTTCAAAGGTCATTTCTCTCTTTTCTTTCTTTCTGGTTCTCTCTCTTACGAGAGAACTCTCTCGTCTCTCTCTATATTTCCCTCGTAGGAGGGAATTCTGGCAACTGCCGGCCACCGTGCTCTGGTGGTGATCGTTGCCGCCGGCCACCATACACGGTGGCCGGATTTTACACAAATACCCCAAAATGAAGCCTTGAACCTCCCAAGGCCGAATCCGACCTTAGTTTCCCCTAAAAAACTCCTGATCGGAGTAGATCTAGAGAAATACCTTCGGGTATTTCGAAGGTTTCGTCAGCACTGTCGGCGCGTAACGTCTCTGGTCACCGTGTGGTTTCCTCGGTAAGCTCTCTCTCCTTTCTTTCTTTCTGTTTTGTGGATTTGGTGGTTTTAGTTGATGTCTTCTTCTCGTTCTTGCCTTCTGTTTCTTCTTTTCTCTTTGCAGGTGTTGATGGCTTTTATAAGCCTCGATGAGGCTCTCATCGGACTGGTTAAGGAATGGAGTTCGATGAGTCACCGAACTATGGTGGTAACTAACCCTATAACCACGACGTGGGCAGCCATCTGGCCTTCTGGAGGCTTCGGTTGAGGCGTGGCAACAACTGGCTGAGGTGGTGGCGTCGACAGTGGAGTGTGGACGTGGAACCACGCCCTAGGGTTATGATGCCCTAGGGTTATGATACCTAGGGTTTTCTGTTGGATCATCTGGACCGTTGGATCAAGGCTAGATCCAACGGTGGAAAGTTGTGGCGGCTGTTGGAAATGATACAAACCCTAGATGCATTAGGGTTAGTCTTGGGCCGGTTTTGGTCGGGCCTGGTTTGGGTCTGGGCCTCAGGTTGTAATTGGGCTCCAGGATTAATGTATTCGGGCTTGTAATATTTATTTAATAATAATAATAATATATAATAATAATAATAATAAATGGGAAAAAAACTAGTGTCTACACCTGGAATATGTAAATCAAAGGCTTATGAGAACTGAATAAAATAAAATAAAATAAATGAAGAAAAAGAAAGAAGTTGATGACATATGACTAAGAAAGTTGAACTGCTTAGCCTAAAGTTTAATAGTTACAGATGATACAGCAATAAATTAGAGGAAAATGATGCATCTTTTTGGGTCAATGGCTCACACCTAAGCAGTAGCAGATACAATGAAGGGTGGCTCTATTAACTAATCAAAAGGTCTTTAGCCTAAGTAATAAACAATACTTCTGTATACATAATTCATGACCATGTGGCAGTGGACCTTTTTCTCAACTACTTCGGAGTCAGGCTAATTTGGAGACATTTTAGTTGAGAGATTTGGTCGCTGGTGGAGGGTTGCCCTTCTCTTTTTATTGCTAAACACGAGTGCAGCTTCTGAACTAGTACTACTATTTTATCTGTAAATGGAGTGTGTATAATCTCCATTAACGTTTCAAAAAATGGGTTTCTCATATAGAAAGTATTGATGAAAATTAGTTACCATCTAGATAGACGGAACCATCCGAATTGAAACCAATGGATCCTGGATAGCTGCCAGGAAGTTTCGAAGGAAGAGAGTCACCTGCAGTTAGTCCCATCGATAACATTACTGCTTCACCTTTTCCATCATCTCTAGTTGCATGTTTCAATTCCTCGATCGTGTTAATATCATGACTGCTGGTAACCTGGACCAAAGATTCTGAATTTGCATTCGGATTTGAGTTTTCTTCGATGACTTTTGTCTTCTCGCCTTCTCTTAGCTTGCCGCTTGAACTTGAATCATGATCATCTCCACGGCAATACAAAATCCTGATCTCGAAATAGGCCTCTTGAGGGAAAGCTGAGTTCCACAAAGGAGGTCCTGGTAAAGGCAAAGCTGTTCTGATAACAGATGCTGCCTCCATAGAATGATGACCTAAACTCCCTTTCTTTGACCCTGAATTTATCCTGATCTTTTGCATGAAATCTGTTGACCCTTGGAAAACTTCCCAGTTCACCTCTATATCGTTTCCTCCTCCAAAATCACCAGTCGCACATAATACCAACAGGCTCAATCTCGTAGAAGGAGACGACATGTATTTGGTGAAGCCAAATCGAGACCATCCGTTTTCAACTGCATCCGTGATGAGATATGGATGGTCAACCCAATTAAACAAAGGTTTCACCGAAACCCCACGTCGGAGAATATAGTAATTCATTCTTCTCTTGTTATCTAAATCAATATGATGATGATGATGCAGACTCGCCTGGTAAAGTTCAGCAATCCCGTCTTGAAAACTTTTAGTCCCAACAGCTCTTTTGTCGTCAGCAATATCTTTACGGTAACAACAGCGACGTATATACACAACCAACAGGATTAAAAGGATACCAATGGCCACCGTTGCTGCCGCCACCTGAGTCAATTTAGACTTCTCTTTTCTAGTCTTTCTCAACCTATACAAGTTTTCAGTACAAATAAAAAAGCTTCTCTCGTTTTTCCCTGAAAATGTATTTAGTAAAGAAAAGGGGTGATGAAGAAACAAATAAGAGAAAGTAAGGTCAAGGTAGAGTGGACCAAGACTGAATCAAGCAATGGTGGTGTAAGCAGATATGGTAAAATAGTAAAGGAGAGGGGGAACTTCGTGGGGGGTATGGGTAATTAATGTTTTTCATTATTTATGGTCCATTCTTTAATTGATGTGAACCGACAATTAATTCATTTATTTTGTCAAAGAAGAGAGAAAGAAAATTGTAATCCCCTTCTAGAAAACCAATAATTGAAGTGTAGAACGAATCTCATAATACAATAGTAAACAAATTATTGTTAGTCGTTGTAGTTTTGAATTGAACATCATCAATATTAGTTGTATTAACATTCAATATTAAATAGTTAAGAATTATTTTTAAATAGATATTATCTTTTAGATTGGACAACTTAAAATCGAATTATTTTAATAAAATTTTATATTTTATTAAAATTATAAAGTTTTGATTTGCGAAATCAAAAATAAATATCTAATTGATTATTGATTATTTTAATTTTAAAAACTTATGAGTTTAAATTTTATTTTATTTAATGATATGTTATGTATGTAATTTTATTTCCAAAACTAGAAGCGACTACAATGGTGGGTACATTAGACTTTATGTTTGAGGTTTAGGGTGAAGTAAGGTAGGGGAGGGGGTTTGTTGTAGCCTGTAGGCATCTTAGGGAACAAAACCTAGGAGATATCAATCAAACTACTCAATCCACAAAACAATGTTTACCTATTTCAATACGTTGCCACTCTTTTTAAAAATCATATATAACTTTTTATTAAAAAAATCACCCTAATACAGTTTGATATATGCATATATCTAACAATTAATAAATTTGTTAAATATTTTACAGATAAATTCAACACTAAGCTATGCTTAGCCCAAATACTCCACTGGAAACAAGTATACAGGCCCATAAACTCTCAACTTTGGATCTGGAATTTCTTGAGTGGCCTTACATACGAGGTCCAATAGATGGCCCAAGCTTACCTCTTGTTGACATTTGAACCTTCGGCTTTGGTTATCCGAATAGAGTGTCAATTTAAGGGAATGGTGGAATTTGATATTTGGACCTTCGGAATTTGCGACTTTGCGGCTTCGGTTAGCCTGAAATTTGGTTGGGTAGGAGAAGATGAATAAGGAATACAACTATTAGAAGGTGTTGAGAATAAGATGTTGATTGTTAATTGAAATATCTCGTGCTTCTTCTTAGAGGGGCAGTTTTGCTTGTATCTATCTATTTTTCATGAGCGAAAAGAGCCTGTCTACCACAGTTCAGGGTAGTGTACATTTTGATGCAATATGGAAAACAGGAAGGGGAAAAGGAGTGTTAACGGTTTGTGTACGTCAAATTCATCTCACGAGAAACAGCAAATGAGGAAAGGACAATAGAATTAATGGGATGAAAAGTTTGTACTGTTCCAGTAGGACTATAAAACTAGATTGCTCTTATTGATTCCATTTGATGCACCACTTCCCATAACAGTGGCTATCTAAATTTCGTATTAAGTGGGTTTATGTGGTGGGTTCAAGTATATTTAATTTTATTTTTTCCCAAACTTTTTTGCTTTTTACAAGAATTTTCTAGACCCCAAGTGAAGTCAATTGAGCCCAGTAAACTACACATCAATCCACCCCTGTCCAGGAGTTCATGTCCCCTGACCGGCAGAGGTCCTTTTCATGCTCTGTACATCATATCCTTTCAACCATCCAATTGATGATGTTAAGGCCAGGTTCGATGACTCACAGAAGCTCCTCCAATCATAGGTTATGCAGGCCAACTTGATAATTATTTTATCGAAACCAGAAAATTAGGTCTAGAGGATAAGAATCAATGTTAGGGTTGAAATTTGATAGTTAATTTGGCGCGTGTTCAATTTTGTTTGATGGATATTATATGAACATTGTTAGCCAAAACAAGAGGAAAATATTGGTTTTACCAGGAAATAAATATTCAGAGTTTAATTTAAAGAATTCTAAATTTAGGAGGATTGGTTTTATACATATCCCCTCAATTTTCTGATACACAGTTTGATTTGATAGCTGTGTTATTGGCATGAATAGGATTTACTGTTCCATGGTGAATCTGCTTTGAGGAAGTAGCATGCTTAATAATTTAGTCATTCTCCATAATATCACATAGCAGAGTGAGACATTGTCAACATCATGGAGTCTTCTCTCCCCTGAAACTAGAGGGTGAGACCTCATATTTCCATTCATGAAAACAATCGACGTCATTTCTCTAGAAGCATATGTAATTCTTGTGGCAATCAGGCTGAATTATCTCAGGGTCTGTTGCAAGATTAAGGATGTCCTATATCTTTATTTTCTTTACTTTTAAATCCCATGCTAGAGGGTACTTACTGCTGTGTATGAGAATAACTAAATGTAGTGGTTACCCTACTCCTATATATTCACCATTATTAAGGTAATTAAGAAACGAATAATATATAAAATACTGGGACATACACAACATACTATTAGCTTGTCATCTCGACTACACACTACTCATTATCTTCTTGTTTATGCCCATTAATATTCAGGTCATTGTGACTTATTTTTCTCTTTAACATGGTGGACCAACCCTCCACCACAAATCCAAAAAAGAATTCAACAAGATGAAAGAAAATGAAGTATATTGCATTCGTTTTTGTCGCTTAGAATCTTCATGTTACTGTTGCATTGCAATTGAAAAAAATAGGTATTTAAATAGTTTGACGACTAATGTATAAAAGGCTTTCTGTTTTAAGGTGAAAGACTAAACAAAAAATGAGTGAGTTGAAGCACATGATAATTCTTCTTTTTTTATTAAAACAATACAAGTTCTTTCTACAAATTTTATTATTATTTAAAGAGCCTACACTCCTGGCTTATGTTAAATTTACTTAAAAAGCATGCATCCACAGCCGTATTTGATGTATGTAAAGGATTCAACGGGGAAATGAGTCCTTAGAAGCTAACGATGTCTGCCTTGCCTACCCCTTACTTTTTTTAAGTTGGTGTTTGGAGCCAAATGCCAAAATATTGCTGATGATTCTTCATCTCTCTTATTTTTTTCTGAATTAATCACTGTTGTCTAATCTATTGATCGACTAATCCAGATCGAATCTTACAAGGGCGAGAGCAACCCTCCCAATTCAGTTTGCTCCATTTACAAATGCTAAAATTTGAATCTCTTACCTTACTTCAGGAATATAGTATTTCATCCCATTAGACCAATCAGTTGTTGGTTCCATCTCTCTTATTCATATATATAAAATTTAAGACTTTTATATTACTATTAAAAGATGATATTCGTTTTTTTATATTAATCTAAAATAAATATAAGATAATATTTGTTTAAAGATAATATTTTATCGTACAATAATAAAAAATTCACTTATAATATAATATTCTTCATCGTACAATAACATTTTATCTTTTATTTTTATGGAAGATATTTATTGCGTGGACGGAAAGTCACACTCCCACCCTCTTTTCTCTCTCAACTTGGATCCCACTAGGCGTGCGGAACTAACCCATTAGTATTTTCAAGTTATAACAAAGCAAACTAAAATATCCCGTTATTTCTGTCACAATAAGAAAATACCAAAAAAAGCAACTCCCCTTTTTGAAGTTAAAAATATCATTAAAAACTGTTTATTCATGTTATTTTGAGATAAATAAATAATTAATAATATAATTGAGAATACATGATTTATATAATAGTGTTTTAGAGTCATTAATGACAATTTAGTTAGATTTTAGAACTCCAAGAGAGTTGAACAAAGTAGTGGTACATTAATATGTATCAAGGTTCGCGTCTCTCTCTCTGAGTAGAAAATATTTTATGAATACCTTATGAAATTAACCATTAAGTACTTTTTTTAAGTTGAACAACATATAAGAACTTTAAATTTATTTATATGAGATGTCGACTTGTTATGAATGATTGATTAATAAGGAATTATGGTTTAAGTTTTTTTAAAGGACAAATAGATAAAATTTTAATCATAGAAATAAGCAAGGAGGTTTGCGTGCTGGGAGTATAACCACGTTGGCTGGTCACATGCCTACGATTACAAGCCGATAACAGTGAGAAAGAGAGAGAGAGATCATACATAAATTTTGTAGGCTTTTTAGAGAGAGAAAAGGAATATTGGAGGTGATGGATTATGTTGGCCCAATTTTGATTTATCTAAAGGTAGATCCATCAACGTGGCGGCCGTGCCCAGTCTACTTATCTCTCTCTCTCCTTCGCTTCTCGCTCATATATATTTATTATACATCCTTTTCTACTTATATATATTCAATATAGAATAGCCTCTGAAGTAAAGGGTATTCTTTGATTAAACGTAGTTGGAATCTGTTCCCTTCTTCCTGTTATGGCTTACAAGTTTTAGTCTCCAGACACAAGTGGGAAAAACAATTCCATTTAGTTTTAGTTATTTTTTTTTTGGTCATGGAGTTGGGTGATTGTTGTTTAACTTCAAGCTCAACAAAAGGGAGAGAAGCGAAAGCTGCGTAGGCAGCAACAGCAGGAGAAACCATTCAGAGGGATAAGGATGAGGAAGTGGGGGAAGTGGGTTGCTGAAATCAGAGAACCCAACAAGAGGTCTAGGATTTGGCTCGGTTCTTATACCACCCCTATAGCCGCTGCTCGTGCTTACGACACCGCCGTTTTCTACTTGCGTGGCCCTTCCGCTAGGCTCAACTTCCCTGACCTCGTTTTACAAGAAGACGACCTTAGGGATATCTCCGCCGCTTCCATACGCAAGAAAGCAACCGAGGTGGGGGCTAAAGTAGACGCTTTGGAAACTTCGCTTCATCACGCTTCTGCTTCATCATCGGAATCGTCCAACCCTTGTCGAGTTTTCCGGAAACCTGATTTGAACAAGTACCCCGAAAGTTCTGATGAGGATTGAAACAATATAATAGTTACCATAACCACAAACCCTACAACTGTTTATAGTCGCCACTTTTTTCCCCCCTTCCTCTTTTGATTCTCTCATGAAATAGCAAGTGCCCCTGGAATAGAATCAATAAAAAAATGGATTGATTCTCTGTTTGATAAGGTTATAAATGTTTTACTTTGGGAATACAAGTTTAGTTTATGGCATGTAACTTTTAACATGGAGTGATGAAACAGGGATATCGTTCTTGATCAGCTGTGCTTTTTTTTGGTTATAATTTATGCATTACAATCTAGTATTTGCAGGGAAAATCAGAAAGAAAAGATGGATCCATGGTTACTTGAAAATGCTTAGCAGCTTGTGTGTCCATATATTTTGTTTAGCAGCTGCTAAAACCAAACAAAGTAGATAAGGGTGAATACAGTCATACAGAGACATGAGAGAACCGAGTATAGTTAGCTACTTATGACCTTGCTTGTGATCACCAAAAAAAACACAGCCAAATAGATGAGCCGAGGGAGGATCATGTCACCATCATCGATGGTGGTAGCTTTTACGAAAGGGCTTGTTTGTCGGAAGTTGATAGGTGATGAAAGATAGGCGGTGAGTGGGGTTTTCTTTTTTATATACTTGATTAACTTTAGTTGATGCATGATTATTTAGGGTTTGATTAGTTCTTTTTTAATCTTATTTTTGTTTGTTTGTTAAATACATATTAAATGAATGCATTAATGGGACCTGGATTTTGATTTGTATTAATGAGGACCAAACATGTAACATGCTAAGCTGCTGGCTTGGACCACACCCTTCCATTTTTCTTTTCTTAGCTTTAGTTTGTGATGGGCAGTTGATTTCCTATATGTTCTGTAGCTAAAAAAAATCTGCCGCTGCCGCTCTTTGTTTGTTCCAACTGTCATTAAATCATGATGTTGACTTTGCAATGAATACCGAACCCGACCCGAATCAGTTTGAAATATAAAAATGTTAACCATCGTCCATTCATTGCCTATTAGAAGCGATTAAGCATACATAATTTGCAACCGAAAGTGGGAAATCTCTAGACTCGGTGTTAATTCATTAGGCGGCAATAGGTCAGTCGAAGGAGGTCCTCGGTAGATTGAAATTCCAGCTTTTATGTTAATGATTAAGAGACGCTTCGATGCAAGGAAAGAACCAATAGGAACACAAAATAAAAGAGATCGGATCTGTCATTAAACAATTATGAGAATATTCCATGCCAGATTGTCTGACCGACCTCGCCTGTATATATTAATCTCTACCATGTTGCTCTTGAAAATGGGATGATCTTAAACTAAAAGGCAAGCAGTACAAGAAGTAAACACGTGAAGGTACCATAACCAGGTTCGTACAAAACCAACTCTGAATTCTACCTTCCACCCACCGAAACTCTCAGATAGTGGAGACTGAAGACCCCATTTTCTATAATTATTCACCAAACTGAATGAAAAGCAGTTAGTCCATCCCCCACCAATCAAAAGTATTTCACACCTGTATCATTTAATGCACTATTCTCTGTCATGCATATGGTGGTTTTCGCTTCAATGTTAGAGAGAGGTGTACTATTTGTTTTCCTGTTAAAAAATGGAAAATCATGCCCGACATAAAGGCAAATAGAATCATGAACAAACTAAGTAGTGGTAGGCGTTCTATAAACATCATCACTCACTGTAATGTGAATCCACAGTTTCATTACAAATAAATGGTATAAAAGCAAACACCAATATCACACTTTGAAAAGCTCTTAGGTACCAAAATAACAATCTGAAAGAGGAAAAGGACATGGTTCCACTTGTGTTTGAAAAGTAAAACCTATTGTCAAAATATATATGTGAGGTGGAGAAGGATAGATGAACCATCAAGAGTAGTTATCTTAATAGCAAACTCATCATATCTTCCAAACAGGGGAGGTGAATTTAAGGGACACCCTATCAAGTTGAAACCATGTGTAAGAGAAGCCGACAGATTAGGAAAAGCATTTCTCTGCACTATAGCTTTCCTACATTGTCGTGACCAAGAGAATGACTTTATAAAGACCAAAAGCTAGTCCCAATCAAAATCTACCATGGCCATATCAAGACCACAAGCTGGGCACACACATTCTATACACATAATTGTTTTCTTCAAAACCTCATCCATCCAACCAAAGTCTATGCTTATGGACAACCGACCACACTGTCACACTAAACTATGTAATAAATATACTACTACAAAATAAACGGATTAGCGATGATAAATATAAAATATAAAATTAAAAAATTAAAAAATTAAAAATTGAAAATAAAATTATTATGATGTGATAGATTATTGTTTTAGATGTGAGTTCACCGTCATTAACCTTGTCTCTCAAGATTAATACAATTAATATTTTATTTTGTACATTCGGAAACGAAAAATGGAACTCAATTTAATTACTCTTTTCAAAACTGTATGGATTAGACCCGAAGTTTAACCTCAATGCCTAATGTGAGTAACCACCCAAAGCTAGGTGTGTTAAAAAAACCCATAACTATTAATCGTAATTGTTAACTAATATAACCGTTATATTTAACAGGTTAATTAATCAAACCATTAATGTTAAATGATTTTGATTAATCGTACCACTAAAAATGATGATCAACGATTAATGTTAAGATTACGAATTTTGATAAACAGATAACCGTTAATAAATTAAATCAATAATTATCTTGCGCACTTACACCAATGTAAGTATGTGTTAAGTGTTACACTTTTTTAGAGATGTACATACATACATAGGTATAAGTATGTGTTAAGTACTACATTTTTTTATTGAATTAAGAAACTTTAAAATGTTTATGTTGTATTATTTTTGAAAAAAAAATTATAACATATTAACCTATGGTTAACCTGTAACCGAATCGTTAATAACGATTAACCATTAACGGTTAACTATTTCTTAATAATTAAGTTACGATTAGAAAAATCACGTAACAGCTATAACGGTTAACCGACCGTTGTAAGAATTATAAGATGCCAACTGGGATTTCATTTTTCATTAATACTGTTTCGCGTTTCATGTTCACAAATTTTGCTTCGTCGTGTGTATATTTCTGGAACCAAAAGACCAATTGGTCAGCTATTTTCAGTTCAAATTTGTACAATGGTTGAGACAAAAGAGTGAGAGATGGAGAAAGGCCACAAATTAGGAAGTTAGGGATAGCTTATTTGATAATTGCAAGTGGGGGTTCGGGTGTTTTGTTGAAATAAAACTAAGGGTAAAATACGCAAATAGTCACTAATGTTTGAGTAAATTCTCGTTTTCACTACTAATTTTTCAAAAGTCACAAATCGGTCACTAAAGTTAT